ATGGAAGGGGAACTCAAGAGCTTCATCAAGGTCCTCATCTCAATAATGGCGTCCCTCTTATACTCTTACTTCATAGCTTCAAAGATTCCCAAAGGCAAATTCAGGTTCTTCTCTCTCCTCCCAATATTCTCTCTCTTCGCCGTCCTTCCCCTCTCTCTCTCCACCGTCTTCCTCACCGGAACCGTCACCTTCTTCATCACTTGGCTCACAACCTACAAACTCCTCCTCTTTTCCTTCAATTTAGGCCCTCTTGTTTCCGACCCACCATTGAAATTCCCCTTATTTGCTTCAATTGCTTGCCTCCCAATCAAAATCATGCCAAAAAAAACCGACCCAGATCACAAAAATCTCAAAAAAGTTCCAAATCCTAAGTTGCCACTTAATTTACCCGCCAAAATCGTTATTTTCGCCGGATTTATCGCCGCCGGCGACCACATTGACCGGCTCCGGCCGAATGCGAAGATCTGCGTCTACTCGGTGCTGTTGTATATCTTCGTCGACATTCTTCTTGGTGTACCGAGTGTTTTCTTTCGATTGATGTTTGGTGGCGTCGAGCTCGAACCGGGGTCGAACGAGCCGTATTTGATGACATCGCTCCAAGATTTTTGGGGGAGGAGGTGGAATTTATTGGTGTCGAATTCTCTCCGATATAGCGTTTACAAGCCGGTTCGAGCAGCGGTAGAGGGTCTAATCGGGCCGACATGGGCCGCGGGAACGGCGGTGATGGCGGTGTTTGTGGTGTCCGGAGTGATGCATGAGCAAATGGTGTATTACCTTACTAGAGAGTTTCCCACTTGGGAGACTACGTGGTTTTTTGTTGTTCAAGGTGTGTGTGTGGTGGTGGAATCCGGGTTGAAGGCCGCCGTGGGGCGACGGTGGCGGCCGCCGTCGGTGGTGGCGGGTCTGTTGACATTGGCGGTTTTGATGGTCACCGCCGCGTGGTTGTTCTTTCCGCCGTTCTTGAAGGCCGGTACTTTTGCAAGTCTTCTTAGAGAATTGAAGATGGTGGGAAAATTCCTTTGGAAACTCATTTAAAAATTAATGAAATATCTAATTAGTAATTAAAAATAAAAACTTTATTTTAATTTTGTATTATTAATATTATATATTTGAGTCGTAAGTAGTATTTTAAACCATAATGTCGTTTATTGGTCGGGATATCCTTAATAGCTATTTTGCATTAAAAAAAATTTATGTGACATATCAACTTGAGCATAATTCAACTGATTAAAGAATATATCATCAATTAAGATGCTAAAAATTTTAATCTCATTTTGTTTCGAGCATACCTGAGACATCAAATCATCTCTCTCGAGACATTGATTGTGGGATTGTTTTTTAAAATATCTATTCATAAGATGTGTTAAACAATTAATTTTATATAATTATTTATGGTTAATTAGTTTATTTTTTATTATGTTCGACTATTAAAAATAATTTTAATTAATTATTTATTTAATTTTTATTTATTAAGAATAAAATACTTTAAATTTTATGTTTTTTTAGGTCCAACCAAATGGGCTGTTAAGGCCTTTGCAATTCTAATGGGCATATGAATCAAAGCCCGAAGTTCATTTCTTAAGGCCCAATAATAACATTTCAATGAGAAATTTGACAGTCTAAAAGCCCAATACTATTGGGCCTGAGGCCCATGTAACCCACATTTTAGAAAGATGAAGGGACATAGATATTTAAAATATTATAAATATAAATACCAAATAAAATCTAAATAAATTGAAAAAAAAAAATAAATTAACTCTAAAAATAATCAAAACTTACCCGTGTATATGCCAGCTCCATTAACTACCTACATGATCTACGCCCTCGGAAGAATCCACCATGTAGGATAATTCAACTGAACTATAAGTCTTACTTCCCTTATCGGTCTCATACATAGCTCAACGGTACTATACCAGAGTGTAAACTCTGTTGGTTGATGAAAGTCCCTTATCGGCTAATTTAGGGAATGATCATGGGTTTATAAACAAATAATACTCTATCCGTTAGTATGTAGCCTTTTGGAGAAGTCCAAAGCAGAGCCATAAGAGCTTAGGCTCAAAATGGACAATATCACACCATTGTGGAGAGTCGTGTTCATCTAACATGGTATCAGAGTCATACCCTAACTTAGCCATGTTAATAGAATTCTCAAATGTCGAACAAAGGACTCCAAAAGAAAAGGAGTCAAGCTTTCTCGAAGGCAGTAAAAAATGACTAAGACTCCAAAGGAGTCGAGTCTCGATTAAGGGGAGGTGTACTTTGTTTGAGGAGAGGTGTTGGAGGATGAAAGTCCCACATCGGCTAATTTGAAGCCCAGAGCAAAACCATGAGAGCTTATGCTCAAAGTGAGATAATATCATACCATTGTGGAGAGTCGTGTTCATCTAACAAACTCTACATTCACTGTACCGTGTACCGGTTGCTAATAAATTAGATACTTGTTGAGTTGGAGCGTTACACGTAAAAATCTAAGTCACCAATTTTTACATACAATAAATTAAAAAATAAATGAAATCTAACAACTTAGAGTAAATGGGCAAACATACAAGAAACGGATGTGTCTAGATAACTTACCTTTTTGGGTATCAACATAATCAAATCTCAAAAGAAGATGAGAGTTGAGATTTGTATGTCTCATCATTAATGTATTATTATTTAATATTTATTTATTTATTTGTAATTGTAATATAAAAAAAAAAAAATTCATTTCCCGACCCGGGGTCTCACTCAAACATCACTCAAACATCAACTAAACTAAAAAGACTCGACCAAAATTGTAGTGGTTTTCGATTTTAAATGATACATTAGAGATGTCTATGAAGTGGAGACGAAAAATTCTTTATTTTTGTAAAGATCGGAGAGAGAATTTCCCGTCTTAATTTTTATTTTTCAATATAATTTCTATTAAAAATTGTAAACTTCCGTCCTAACTTCTTTGTTTCAGCTCTGATTTGAGTGATTCAAAAGACGAGTGATTCTAAACTTACAGTAATTAATAGTAATTAAGAGAATGTTTGTTATCATAAAATTAATTAATTAATTAAAATATTCACAATAAAAAAACGAACAAGATATAACATAATATTCAATATAATTTTTAAAAACTCAAATTTCAATACTAGAGCGTAATATTTCACATTAAATAATTATTTATTTACGAAACGAGTAAAATAATAATATATATTTATATAAAACGAAGCAGAGTGGAGTGAGAATTTGGGCAAATACGGGGAACATAATCTTCATCCCGAGTCTCATTTAGCTAACCCTAAACCTCTGATATGAGTAGCGAACTCATAAGCTTCATGAAGGTGATACTCATATCAATGACCTCTCTATTGTATTGCTATTTCATAGCTCCAAAACTTCCCAAAGGCAAATTCAGGCTCATTTCGTTCCTCCCCGTCTTCTCCCTCTTCCTCGTCCTCCCTCTCTATGTCTCGTCCGCCTTACTCTCGAGTAGCTTTGCCTTCTTCATCACCTGGCTCACGACCTTTAAGCTCGTTCTATTCTCATTCAATTTAGGTCCTTTAGCTTTCGACTCGAAAGTATCGTTCACTTTGTTTGCTTCCATTGCGTTCTTACCCACTAGAATCAAGCATAACAAAACAGCCAAATACGTTCAAAATCATGACGATCTTGGCAACGATCCACACCCTAAGCTGCCTCTAAGCTTGCCAGCCAAGGTGGTGATATTTGCTATGTTGGTCATGGGTAAGAGGCACTTAGAAATTATGGATCCCATTGCAAATTTGTACGTGAATTGTGCAACGTTGTATTTCTATTTAGACATGACTATGAGTCTTTCTAATGTGTTTGTTCGATCGAGATTTGGCGTTGAGGTTAGACAACCGTTTGACGAGCCATATCTCGCGACGTCGCTTCAAAATTTTTGGGGACGGAGATGGAATCGATCTGTGTCGGAAACTTTGCATACCGCTGTTTATCAACCCGTTCGTTATGAAATCGGAGTGCCACGGTGGATGGCGGTGGTCATTGTGTTTGTGGTGTCCGGGTTGATGCATGAGCTTTTGCTTTACTATATCATTAGAGTGATCCCAACGTGGGAAGTTACATGGTTCTTTGTTGTTCATGGACTGTGTGTGGCTGTGGAGATTGAGCTGAAAAGGGCTTTGGGGAAAAGGTGGCGGATTCATTCGGCGGTGTCCCGACCACTCACGATAGCGTTTTTCGTAGCCACCGTTCATTGGTTGTTTTTTCCACCACTGTTGAGGATAAAACACTTCCCAAGTGGCTAGGTCACCTGTCGTGTGTCGTGTGTCGAAGTTGAACTATGTAGAATTTGAATGAAATATCATTATTACGAGTATTATGAGTCTTACCCTTTTATAATTTGTGAGCATATTCTAAATAATCGCTCGTTTTGCAAACATTTTTCTATACTCTTACGGTAAAGTATTAGTTTTTCCATCCTTGTATTAGTCAACAAAAGCAGGACTTTGTGGAGCAGCTCAAACTCAATAACAGATATTATCCACTTTTACCCGTTACGTATCGTCATTAGTCTCGCGGTTTTAAAACGTATCTGCTAAGTTGAGGTTTCCACACTCTTGTAAGGTGTATCAACTTGAGTATAATTCAACTGATTAACGAATATATAAAGAAAACATCTTCTATGTCAAGTATAATTCAACTGATTAATGAATATATATCATCAATTAAGATGTCAAAAATTCAAATCTCGTTTTGTTTCGAACGTACTCGAGTCTCTCGAGACATTCATTGTTTGAAATGATTGGATTTTTTTTTTTTGTTCATTAAGATTTTAATAGGTTAAACTATTAAAATAATTTTAATTAATTAATTTTAAATTTTTATTTATTAATTAGTATATTAAGAATAAAATAGTTTTTTTAGGTTATTTAATGATTTTAATAAAATTATATGAATTTTTAATGATAAATAACTAATACTCAATAATTCGTCGGTAATTTATATTTTTAAATATAATTACATCAAAAGAAGTTGACTTTTATTTATTAAGCAAAAATATTATTTAGAACGTAAATTCTAAAAATTATATTTATTTGAAAATAATGTTTATTATCATATTTCAAAACCTTCCAACCAAATGGGCTGTTAAGGCCTTTGCAGTTCTAATGGGCATTTGAATCAAAGCCCAAAGTTCATTTCTTAAGGCCCAATAATAACATTTCAAAAGGAAATTTGAGTCCAAAAGCCCAATAACATTGGGCCATGAGGCCCATGTAACCCACATTTTAGAGAGATTAAAGGGACATAAATATTTAAAATATTATAAATATAAATACCAAATAAAATCTAAATAAATTGAAGAAAAATAAATTAACTCTAAAATAATAAAAGATTAAAAAAAAAAAAACTCAACTTTTAAAGTTTTAATAATACCTTTAAATTTTTTAAAAAATTCATTAATATTTTTCAACCTTTTTAAAAAAATTAAAAAATAATGTTACCGTTAAAAAAATATATATATACATGAAATTTTAAAAATACTATAAAATTTACCAAAAAAAAATTTACAACTTTTTTTTACGGTCAATATATGACACTCATAAATAATATCCAAACTTTTTAACGTTATTTTTTAAAATTCACTCATATTAAAAAAATGTGATATTAACCATCGTATTATTAATTAAACTTTTAAAAATTAAATGGTATTTTAATTTTTTTTTAAATCATTTTAAAATTTAAAAATGGTATTTTTGAACAAATTAATTCACTTTTAATTTTTTTTTTAAAAAAAATAAAAATATAATTGAAAATTTAAAAAATGAATAGATATTTAGACAATAGTTTAAAAATATTTTTATTAATTTAATCTAAAATAAATTTAAAAATAATAATATTTATAAATAAATCATCCAACTTAAATTCCATATTATATATATATATATATTAAAAATAATTACATTAAAAAATAGTAAAATAACGTATGAATAATTGAGCAGCAATAAATATTAGCTTTCCATTATTACGAATATTCTAAATACCCTAAAAGTATCTTCTAGGAATCCACAGTTTCATATACT